AATATGTCAGCCACATGTACAGCATGAAATCGCACAAACAGGAGCCGCATAGAGCATGGGAAACCGGTATCTGCAGCACTTTAAGCTCTGGGTTAAGAAATGCATGCATAACTTCTTTTGCACCGTACGTAGCCAACCGTGCTAATCGTAGGTGCGGGGGAAGGACAATAAACTAAAAAAAGCGGTTCTAGTTGTAGTGCCTTATGCTAATAATCCCTAACTCCAAACCAGCCTAGCAGCATTCTGGAAAATATCAAGTCCTGGGCCAATTGTTCTGTGCAAAGCCGGCACTAAGCCTGTGTGAACGCTATGCCTGAGCGTGTCCACTTGTGGAAATGTACGCGCTGTGTTTGTGCTAGCAACAGAAGTGTGTGCTTTCCGTAGACTTTGCACATCAGAATATCAAATGGAACGAACAGACTGTTGCAATTGCTGTGCAAACCATAGCTGTGAGCCTTGAGAATTGATGATCAATGGTATGGAAGTTAAAATGATGTTTATTTGCACTACCGACATTTGGATGAGTATAACACGGTATGAGAAGTGCCGGTGACCGAGTTTGGTGTTGCGAGAAGTGCCGGTGACCGAGTTTGGTGTTGCGAGAAGTGCCGGTGACCGAGTTTGGTGTTGCAAGAAGTGCCGGTGACCAAGTTTGGTGTTGCGAGAAGTGCCGGTGACCGAGTTTGGTGTTGCCAGAAGTGCCGGTGACCGAGTTTGGTGTTGCGAGAAGTGCCGGTGACCGAGTTTTGTGTTGCGAGAAGTGCCGGTGACCGAGTTTTGTGTTTGGTGCTGTGGTGAGAAGTGCTTATGAAATAAACTGGCGATGGTGCTGCTGTGTTGGGAGTGTTGTACGTATGTTGAACTTCTTTCGCACCGTACGTAGCCAAACGTGCTAATCGGAGGTGCGGGGGAAGGACAACAAACGTAACACAAAAAGCAGCACTCCCTTTAAGAGTGTGCTCCTAATCTCAGCTCGTTACCTGTGTAGTGGAGTATGAAGGTGTGTTGTGGGAACTGCGCGATTGCATGATCACACGGACAGTGTGGGTTACCTGGGGTCAGCCTGTGGAAAGGTGAGAACAGTGTGGGTCGTGTTAGGACAGCCAGGTGCAAAGGCTGGGATGATGCGGTAACGGTTGGGCCAACTAAGCCAGAGGATCAGCAACGGCGGTGATTGGCTGTGGCTGTTGTCAAGGGCGAGGAGGCGTCGAGATGTCTGGAGAAAGGCAGGTGTTTGAGGACGCGAAGCTATGGAGGCACGCGGGCCATTAATTAGCGATAATGAGAATGGGGATAAATTGGGGGAGACACACAGAGAGCGGGGGAGTTGGAGTTGGGAGCTGGACGAGGAAGACGTGGAGTTTGGAAACAGAGTAGAAACAGAGTTTGGAAACAAGAGTTTGGAAACAGAGTTTGGAGACAGAGTGGGAAACGGAGTTGGAACAGAGTGTGAAGCAAGACGAAGTAGTTAGCAGTGGAGTGAGCATAGCGATAGCGGAGTTGAAGACGCTGTGTGCGGAGTGTGCAAAGACGCTGTGTGCGGAGGAGCTGAAGAGAATAGCCAGCAGTGGAGAGAGCCTAGCGATAGCGGAGCTGAAGACGCTGTGAGCGGAGTTGAAGACACTGTGTGCGGAGTGTGCGAAGTCGCTGTGTGCGAAGACGCTGTGTGCGGAGTTGCTGAACGGGGAGTCGCTGAGGGCGAAGCAAGTAAAGTGATAGTGGGGAGACAAAGGTGGTGAGCGAGACGAGCGGAGCACGGCGAACGAGCCGTGGTGACCAGGATACTGTGGAGTGTGGAGGACATGTTGAATGTTGTAAATAAAGCGGTGTTCGAAGAAAGACAGAAGTTGTCCGCGTAAAGTCGAACACTACACCTGTATAAAAGACACCTGGGAGCCAGAAATCTTTCTGATTGAGAGGGGGTCAAATACTTATTTCCCTCATTAAAATGCAAATCAATTTATAACATTTTTGACATGCGTTTTCTGGATTTTTTTGTTGTTATTCTGTCTCTCACTGTCCAAATAAACCTATCATTAAAATTATAGACTGAATATTTCTTTGTCAGTAGGCAAAACGTACAAAATCAGCAGGGGATCAAATACTTTTTTCCCTCACTGTACCTGCGATCTCATCCTTTCGGTCATTACCCAAAGCTCATGACCATAGGTGAGAGTGGAAATTGGAGTGGAATTTTTAAAATCTTTATTGAACTGTAACCTCGTCCAGCAGTGGGTTGGTGTCACCCTACCGTGCACTATATGTGCCACGTATGTACACCTGTACCACATTGCAAATTCAATTTTATTGGCAATTATATATGTATATATTGTGTATATACCGAGTGGTTTTGTTGTGGAAGGACACGGGAAGAGAATCCGGACCCGGGACCGCGCTGCATACGAGGGGAGGAGGGTGACACTCAGCACTGCCATCTCCTGGCTACCACCTCTCTCAGCCCCAGACCTACAACACCTGGCAAGCCTTGGCTCGGGCACCCACCTAAGTGGTGGTGGTGCTAGCCAGTCTGAAATCCGGCATATAACGAGACGTTACGCATTCAAGGTGAATACATTTAAATGTAATGAATTCGTGAGAAGGATTACAGATACACTTGTGATGTGTGCACGGGGTGAAGAATATGCAATTTTGCAAAGTAAATGTTATGAATGGTTAAGATAGATGTGCGCATACTGCATATGGTAGTTTATATATTAGGCATTGCATATTGCTACGTTTAGAAACACGGGATGGAGCGGTGGTGCAGCAGTTAGCACAACTTCGCCGTGAGTTCTGTTGCACGGCCAACATCGGAGGCCATTGACAATCAAAATTGGTCGCTCACCAACGTTGCGAAGTATGGACACACTACCGACACGCGGAAGGTCTCCATCCAACAGTGGATTGACGGAGCGGCTGGACATCACAGTAAAACACCTCGACCCCACCCCATGGTGAACGCACATGTTCATCGTGTGCAGCAGCATCGTGAAATCACCCCGCATGCTGCAGGCATGCACACAACACGGCGTTCTCGTACACTGCAGACAACATTTGCCCACAAGTAGGCCGACTGACTTCAGTTTCAGTTTATTTTTGGTATAGCCCTGTGAGCCATTCGGCTCTTGAATCGGGTGTAACGACACGGCATTCAGTGTGTCCGGTCCGCGTGTCATCTCAGGCGCAAGGGGCGGCATGTTACAGCATTTCGACGTGCAAATACCGCACGGGTTACATCGCACGTGTGCTGCTCAAATCGTGTACAACGCGTACAGCACAAAGACAAAGGTCCTGCCCGTATAGCCTGAACAGGTTGTTGGGGCAAGTGCTGTTAGCGAGTCCCTATTAAGGCGGGCACGGTGTAAGGGGAGGGCGGGTGGATGGGTGGCGCCTTCGCCTGCCCAGGCACTCATTTGAGGCCGAGTCGAGTGGGGAGGAGGCCCAAGACCGGTTCAGATCGTCGCCACTGGTGGTGTTGGTGGCCGTGAGCGGGAATCGAACTCGGGTAGCCGCGTTCGAGGCGTAGCGCGAAACGTTGCACAACCGCAACGGTGAAGAGCGTGCACACAACACACACACACGCTGTTAACCCCACACCGTGTGCTTCGAAAATACACACACACACGTTACCCACCGCACACCGTAAATCGCGAATATCGACACGCGTGTTTGGTGGTGTGTGGTGGTAGCGGTGTGTGGTGGTGGTTGTGGTGGTAGCGGTGTGTGGTGGTGGTTGTGGTGGTAGCGGTGTGTGGTGGTGGTTGTGTTGTGTGATGGGTGGTGGTGAGTGCAGTACGGAGCTGTGCGTGCAGTGCCCGTGCAGCAGGCGATTGCACAACACGTGCCCGGCTACACCCACAGACTGCTGGCACAACACGTGCCGTCTAGAGTGCACGCGTTTGTTACACGCCACGTACACACCACGTATGACACAACTGTGTGTGTGTGTGATGCACGTGTGTAATGCGTTCAATAGCATGCACACACGTGTACATCGTGCGCAGTGAGCGTGTATTGATGGTTTAGGACTCTCTGCTCTAGACGGATGCACACGCACACAGGCATCGCGAACCCACGCCACGTGCATCCCAACAATTATACCCCACACAAAAGGCGACTGTGCACACAAAGACAATGATCCCCCATGTAGCCTGAACAGACTGTTGGGGCAAGTGCTCTTAGCGTGCACCTATGAAGGCCGGCACGGTACACGAGGGGGTCGGTGGGTGGCCAGAACCACGCCTGGCCGCCTTTGTCTCCCTAGTGGCGATGTTTAAATGTCACACCGGGTGCTCATTTGAGGCTGAGTCGACATAGTGGAGGCCCAGAACCGGTTCAGATAATCGTCACTGGCGGCCGTGAGCGGGAATCGAACTCGGGTCGCCGTGTTCTTAGCGCAGCGCGCTAACCACTGCGCCACCGCTCCCCACACACACCCCCTCTATTTCACAAATACACGCGATGTGTATTGCAGTGCATCGCCACACACAGGCGTTGTGTATACAAACTGTTTACACACAGTTTGGTATACACACACACAACACACGGTGTGTTACACACACTGCGTATTACAGTGCTGTATCCACACTCACAATACACTCTTGTGAATGGACACTTATTACACTGTTACACCTAAACCGTTTATAGTGTACACAAAGACATCACTGCAGTCCGTCATGTACACACGCTGGGGTATTGTGTAATACACAATATCCACACACTTCCACACACACACAACGTATGAGACACACAGTGCATTGCACACACTAGGCATTGCACACACTGTATGACACATGTGCAGCGATGATCACCGTGTCCAGACTATTGTACGACACACGTGCACACACACACAGCATGTACAACATCGCGCACAAACCACCGCAATCCGTGTGAAGCACACGAAGTAGTTGGTGGTGGCGGCGGCATCACGCTCATTGTAACAGAGGTGATGATGATGGTGGTGATGATGATGGTGGTGATGATGGTAGTGCATCACTCACCAGACACCCGGTGCTGGTCGATGCTTAATCCGCGCCCTGTCTGCGCTGCCCTGCATCGCCTCTCATTTTATATACACACACACACCTCTACACCATACACACACACCTCTATATCACACACACACACACCTCTACACACGCAGACACACGTGTCTACGGCTGTATGTGTGCGGCATCCTCTGCGTTATCCCTTTCATTCGCTGCGCTCCTTATAATGAGCCGAGCAACCACGTGATCGCACTTCCTCCACCCACCCCCCCATCAGCTGATCGCAGTCCAGCTGTCATCAACATCATCATCTGAATCATCTTCACTATCAAAAGGTGGAATTCATTCCGGTTATAGAAAGTCATCATCAGCCATGATCAATCCACTGCTGGATGAAGGCCACCCCATGCCTCTTGCCGCGTCTCACGCTCCTACGATGTAACAATCCACCTCGCAAGATTATTTCATCGCTCCATCTCCTCGGTGCACCATCAAACAAACAAAAACACGTGACAAGAACCCGGGACCAAGTAAACGTGCCAACAATGCTGGGCCAATTGTGGCATGTGTTTGGACACGTTGGACCAGCGTTTACAAGGCCTTACAAACGCATGGTTCAGTTTCTCGATATTTTTCAGAACGCCTCTAGGGTGGCTTGCAGTAAGGATTATCGGCATAAGGAATTATTACCAGAGTTCAAAGTACGCCTATCTATAATATGCATCTTCTATTGTACCCTATATATAGATATGGACATCATCATCATACAAAATTTGTTCATATGTTGGATGTTGGATTGTGTCGAGTCAATAAAATTAATTGCCAGAACAGCATTCGGGACTGTTCCGACTGAGATTAAGCACTGCTTAAACGCATTTATTTAATTAAAGCGCTGCTGATGATCTTAGCGCCATGCGTTACAAATCTTTTTTTCTAATCTTTGTGCGAGAAATACGTGCATGTGAGAGCAGGACACGAAACCCCCTGAAAACCACCAACACGTTAGCAGGAAGAACGACTCCACATGCTGAGCCTGCATGCCCCCCTTCAATCAGTCCCTATTTGGGTTTCAGGACGTTTTAGGAATTTGTTCTCCATTTGATATAAAACTAATTGGGGGTCCCTGGAGAAATACCAAGAGAAAAACTCGGCTATATACACAAAGCAGTATCATCCTACTCTCTGTACTGCCCCTACAGCTGCCCAGTAGCTACGTGCAGTTCGTCTCTAGTCAGTGAATTTCCACTGAGTCTCAAGACCCTTTTTACAGAAGGTCCTGCGTTGGGTTGTTTACCAAATGATGCGATACTCCTCAATGGGGGCCGTATTTTGTGGTGTGCCTACACACACGTTGGCGAGTGGTACTGAAAACATCCGTGGCGATAGGTGGTCACCCTCTTTCCCTCTACTGCCACCTTCTGTCCACCTCAAAACACTGTGGGTTGGGAAGTCTCCCACATGTGGCTGGTGGAATTGCACAGCCAAGCCAGAGGCGATCCCAGGGAGGTAGCGGTGGGGGGTGCTGGCGGGCATTGCCCCCCACCCTGAGATTCACCACTGCATCACGACGTTTCGGCCACAACACAAGTGGCCTTCATCAGGTGAAGGGACCCAACTGTCCAGAGGACAGCGTTGGAGTGAAGAAAGCCAAGCGCAGGTCGCCTCCTTTAATGTGTGAGGGAGGAAACAAAAACGCCTTGACAAAGGAATTAGCATAAAATGTACTACTGTGAAAGGTCGCGTCCTTTAATGTGTGAGGGAAGAAACAAAAAAATGATGTCTCATCGGCGAAAGTGTTTTTCTCCGCTGACAGCAAGTGAAGAACGCTGGCGTACGACAAGAATGATAGACACGACTAAATCAAAGAGCAGGGATCCTTGCAGTCACGAAAGCTTCAAATCTAGAATTCACCACTGAGTCTGGCGCCCCTCACTGACAGCGCAAATGAACGACAATACCTTGCGGATCTCGTAAAGGAGCATAAACCAACGTCACGCGAAGTCCGGTCATCCTCGCAGCAGCAGCAGCGGCTTCTGGCTAACCACCGAAGAAAGGCGGTGGTCACCGCATCGCGTGCTTTCAGATTCTCTTCTGCGGCCATCTGGAATGCTCTTCCGATATTAAGAAGCCACTGGAGCTATGGACTCTGATATCATCTAGATTTAAACTCATTACTTTAGAACTGATTTTTTTTGTTTAGTTTGTTGTCCTTCCACCGCACCTCCGATTAGCGCGGTTAGCTAGTGAGAGTGCAAAAGAGTTTCAATATACATACAGCACACCACGTCAATACTGACAGCAGCAAGGGAGTTCAGACAATTTCCACGATGCTGGAAAATCATTACAGTACTTTGCTGGACATGACTTAAGGCCACCACAATGGTGTTGGATGGCTCTCGTCGGACATCAGGAAGCCCGGTACCATTTGTTCAATGGGATCACACTCTGCTGATTAGACCAAAGGAGATTAAAACCAGTAAATGCGTCACTGTTTTAATAAATGATACGAAACACACTGGTCTGGAAATCTGATTGGTTGACGTGATTTTAATTTTATCATTCTTAAAATTTAACAAAATTCACGTTTGTATCGGTTATTTCATCAAATAACCACTCCGAGGCGCCTTACCTTAATCCTGTTTTCCATGCGCCATCACGCTGCAGTAAATGATTCATCATCTAGCATTTCACCAGTAACTACACATCCTCTCTTGTAAGCCTGGCTTATTATAAAGCAATCCTTACAAAGTATTTTTTTTAGTTTTTGGACTTAAACCCAAAGCATGACAAGATGATTCCATTACCACCTTCAGTGGTAGAACAGGAAAATTTCATGATTATTATACGATCAATCATTCGTTGTTCAGGTTCACGATCGCACGACTTAATTGCAGGGTCAGCAAACCATATTGACATCATGGGGCAGTACACTATAAATAGGTTTCTGACCATTGTGTGTGGACTTTTGAGAACCCTTTTCATATGCCTGACCTTTCTCCATGAACTCAAGTTTCCCCGAATACAAAAAGACTGAACAACAAGTTGATCAAGTAACCTGACATGTTTAGGCTCCGCGGTGTATGCAGGACAATATTCTACACGTGTTGTGTGTACACAGCTCGTTGATCTGGAAAGCCCTAAAGCCAGTTGGTTAAATATTACAGCACAATATTTCAAATCATCAACGAAACAAAGGCACCTACCTATGTAGCTATTTTATTGACAATAAATAGATGAGGCAGAACAAATGCTTTATGTAGAGACTGTTCGTGTGCTGGTAGAGTGGAGCGGTGGAGCAGTGGTTAGCAACCTATGCTAATAACTTGGTGACCTGAATTTGCTTCTCAGCCACGGCTAAACATCAGTGGCGAGTGGTCTGCATCGGTCCTGGGCACCCCTTCGCCAATCTGTACTGACCAGCGTGGTCATATCATGCAATTATTTATTTACGCTAGCATACCTCGGGAAGGCCTCAGTGAGTCCCATGACTTTTTCGGGAGAGTCCTGCCAGATTTGTCGCAGTAGGGGGCCGCTGCTTGCCGTGTATATTCCCAATTTCATTATCTGATGTGGCCCACATAATCTTTGCCAATTACTTCGCGGGGACGTTTAACGTCGACCGTGAATAGACGGCGGCTATTGTGAGGGTTATTACACCACCGCAGCAATAATCAGGGTGGCTGCTGGTCCTAAACCACCCAAACCTCCACCACGGCTGACAACGGCGTGCTTGAGGCCTTTACCATCCAGCAGTGGATTGACGAGGGGAATTTGTTGTGGAAGTTACACGCTTCACAGCACTTAGCACAGAATACAACAGCACAGGGATGTCAATAACAATCTGGCGGGACTTCTTTGAGAAATCTTAATTTCAAAGATGACTGTAATTGTACATTTGTCACGTGAACAACTGTGAGGGTGTTGTGTGCATCGAGCAGACATTAACGCACACACATGCTCCACAATTCACATCCGACCGTGGCTGCCACTGTGGTCAGAAGCACTTTGCTCGCAATCGCTCGGGGGTTCGATCCAGGTCATCATCCCTCTTGGGGTTGACTAAACGAGTACAACTTCGTGGAAAGTCAACAGTAGCATTCCTTTACAGCAGCAGGTGGCCACCTGGCCTCAGAATCATCAATTTCCACCATGGTCTCCGGTCAGTCAGCGGAAATGAGTGACCGCCCCACTCTGCTACTTGACAACGGGGAATTCAACGCAAGTTTTGTGACGCTGCATTGGTCGTGGTGCATAGTCACGAAAACACGTACTGTATGTATATAGAACTCAACACATTCGTCAATATCGCTGCCCTAGATAGAAAATAAATATAAAGTTGGCAACGTTTTGGGCAATGGGGCATTTTTAAAAGCGGGGAGATACAGAGGTCAGGGAGATAAGAGTGCATAATAGTTGGAGCTTACACAATACACCATGAGCCCTGATAGAAACTAAACTGGGAGACACTTCGACTTGACGTCGTCTGTACATACAGCCAATATCAAATATGTGCACGTGTATTGACTGTGCATACAGCTACAGAGTAGGGAGTGAGGCAAGATGAGTGTAGAAGAGACGGGTGTTCGTATTGAAATTGGGGGAAGTACAGACAGCAATAATGGGGTAGTCCATTTCAGACTGTGAGAGCAGCACAAGAGATGGAGAGACATGACCCTGTGGCTCAGTGGCCGTAGGAGTGCTGATAGAGGAGGCTGTGTGAACGTGGGAGCGTGGGAGCTGGGTTGCAACGCACATGGGAGAGGTGAGGGTTCATACCGATCACAACATTAACTTTACAACATAGTTGTAATGCACTTCTACGTTCCTCCCTATCTTCCCCCGCACCTCCCGATAGCACGGTTGGCTAAGTACGGTGCGAAAGAAGTTCTACATACACAAATACAACCAAGCACTGACGGGCGTGGTTAAGTATGGTCAAACATACAATCATTGGCATAAGGAGACCCTCATCCAGTGGTGGACTGACAAAAACAGGCTGTGCATTATCACGATAGAGTACACTATACTGTAAAGTATTCACTTTACAACGGAACTGAGAGGAACAAGGTGAGCACGGGGAACACGTGGGCTGAGTTTGACACGAGGATGCTGCGGTGGGTGGCTGGGGAGGAAGGCAAAGCGTAGGTGGGCAAGCGCGAAGAACGCAAATCTCTCTCCGGGATGTCAATTTGGGTGACCCAATGTCGCAGGCGAGTGCCTTGTGGCTCTCGAAGCTTGTG